CAGACAGTGATAATAATCACTAATGACAGCATTTTCTTTAAATCCGCCTAAAAAGATCAAACCACTCGAGCACTGAAGATCCTTATGTGTACACACACACCGGCAGATCAAAGGTGCTGTAGGCATCCTCTCAGATCCGCTCGTAGCAGACGAGGAGAGGGGCGGGGTCGCCTTCATTGAAGGCGAACCATGAGCAAAGCAGAGTGAGACACAAACTCTCGTAATGAGAGCTGTCTGTCTAGTGCGCGCAACCTCAGCGTGGCCCAAGCGGCGCACTCAAATAGAAGCTGTCAGCGATATTGTAAATCATAGGTGACAGCATTCTGCTCCGATCTGCTTTGAAGGATTAAGCCGCTCGACGAACAAGACTGGCAGATCAAAGCACTGCGTGTCGAGTGAAATATGCGAAATTTCACCGTCTCTTTCTCCGAGGCGACTGGGAGAAGCGAAACATGAGAGCGGGGGAGGCGGGGCCGCCATTCTACTCTGATCCGCCTAAAAGGCTTGAGCCACTCGAGGTAATAAGAGGCGCTATTACTCACGTGTGAACACACGCTGGCAGACCAAAGTGAGCACGCGGGATGTGTGCCGGCGTGAAAAATCACTCAAGCCTGATTGCTCAGCCTCGCGAGTTCACCGTTATTTTCTCCGAGGTAACATGAAGAGAAACATGAGAGCGGGGGAGGAGGGGCCACCTTCATAGAAGGGGATCCGCGAGCGAATCAGGGAACTCCAGCTTCCTCTCTCTGTGAGCGCAGCTTCAGCGACCTACACACAAATGCAAAGCTGTCAACGATATGGCTTTCTACTCCGATCCGCCTAGGAGGATAGAGCCGCTCAATGTAAGGCGCTGATTCTCACGTGTAAAAACACCGGTGGATCAGAGCCAAGCGGCAACCTCCCGCTCTCTCTCGTGAAGCCAACACGGAAGTGACTTAAACTGTAATTCATCGACTGGCCGCTAGGACTCAGGCTGGCTGCAAAAGGGAGTCAGTCCCATAGACTCCTCATGTTAAAATGCCCAACTTTACAGCAGAACAAAACATGTTTACAGCCTGGTTCAAAAATTATTTTGGTCTATATAGCTAATTTTGCCCTTCATGACAACTGTGAGGGGGGGTGAATTTTTTTATAACTCATCCATTTAAATTATATTAAGCCTTAAAGTTCTGCATAATTAGGGTGTGGCCACTTGAGTGACAGGTGGAGATCACCTGGATCACACTAGATCTAGTCAAATTAACCTACAGAAACTCTGCACATCCTTGCAGAAGATCATTCTTTATTTCAGACCCATAGGTCCATATCAAAAGAGTAAAAGTAAAAATACATTTACAAACGTTATTTAAACATTAAATGCAGTGAAAATGAGGATGGAAAATTAAAACCTAAGCTAACTATAAAAATCTGAAAATAAATTTAAGATAAAAAAAACATAAGATAAGGGATTTTTAGTGTGCTCAGATGAAATAAAAAAGCTTTTTTTAATCTTGTAGTTCAAGGTTCAGATGAAGTGAGTTAAGTGACTGTAGCTCGTCGGGTTTTACAGCGTACAATCAGCTTTATTTGGAAGTGCATGAGTAAATGGCTCTTCTGTTTCTTTCTCTCGGCGTCGCAGGACATCTCAGAAACTTCTCTGTGCATTAAGAGCCATGTGGCCTGCAGATACAAGTGCTTTACTTTAGGCTGTAAATCCACTTCCTGACAGACAAAGATGCAGTGATGTAAAGGCTGGTCTTTGTGTTTGTCTGCTGGGGGCTTCGCTCAGGACCGGCTCGGGTCGTTATTCACGCTCTCTGAAACACAAAACCCGCCTGACGCATCCAGACACATGCAGGACTCTTATTTTCTGAATCTCTATTGAGTGTTTCCATCATTTTTGTTTGGGAAAAAAGGCTACAGTTTATTTATAGCAGCTCATATTGTCACAATGTGGGGTCAGTTGTCACAGTTATTATTTAATAGTTTATTTAATGGCTTTTAATGTAACAGTAAACAATGATGAGCAGGGTTATTATTATAGTTAACTAAAACTGAAACTTAAATTAAAACCATGAAAAACAGAATTGTTCTTTGAAATAAAATAAATGTGTGTGTGTGTATATATATATATACATATATATATATATATATACGAGTTTCACAATTTGAGTTGAATTACTGAAATAAATGAACTTTTCCACGACATTCTAATTTATTGAGATGCACCTGTATACTGTATATAAACAAAAACTAATGTGTAAAAACACATTAAAAAAACCAAGAAAAAAACCCCTCAAAGATAATACCCAGAAATATCAAAGCATTTTTTTAGCCAACTGTAGTTAAAGAATTGATGCGTATAAAACAATAGAGTTGTGACAACTTGCCTCATCATATTGTCTGTTTGTGATCGTCTGAGAGCGCATCACGGATTCTGTTCAGATTGTCATGCTAACAGCCTGTGATGATGTGGATTTGTGTGTCTGGGATTGTAGGACGCGGCGTATAAATCCTGTGTGTGTCTCATGGGGGATAATACCAGTGTGTGTGTGTGTGTGTGTGTGTGTATGTGTGAGATTGTGTGTGTGTGTGCGCGTGTGTGTGTGTGTGTGTGTGAGTGTGTGTGTGTGTGTGAGTGAGTGTGTGAGTGAGTGTGTGTGTGTGTGTCTGTCCTGATCTCAGTGACGCAGGATTCATTCAGAGAATTAAAGCTCAGTTTTTGACTCCACCATCTGCTGCCAAGGGAAAGGATCCTGAAAAACACATTTTATTCTTATAGTTTATGTAAGTATTTTATTATTTTATTTGAATTTACTTTTGTTTTATATTAATTTACACTTATTTTATTTTGCCTAATTTTATTATTTTATTTAAATTGATTTTTAAATTATTTTTAAATTATTATTTTACTTTTTTATTATTCTATTTAATTTTTAATGTACTTTTTCAGTTAAAGGGGTCATATGATGCGATTTCAATTGTTCCTTTCTCTTTGGAGTGTTACAAGCTCTTGGTGCATAAAGAAGATCTGTAAAGTTGCAAAGACTAAAGTCTCAAATCCAAAGAGATATTCTTTATAAAAGTTAAGAGTCAGGAGGTATTCGGCCAATCACAACGCACTGGATAGCTGGCCAATCACAGCACACCTCGCTTTTCAGAACGATGAGCTTTGTAAAATTCGACACGTTTCAGAAAGGCGGGGCATAGAGGAGAAACAATAATGGACAGTATGTGGAAAATAATGTGTTTTGAACCTTAAACCGCATAAACACATTTCATTACACCAAATACACAAAATAATGTTCTTTTTAGCAGAATCATATGACCCCTTTAATTGACTTTTTGTGATGTTATTATTTTACTTCATTTAATTTTTTACTTTTTACTTTAGTTTCCTTGCATATTTGTCTCTGTTCATACATTATACATGCTTCTGCGGCAGTGAAATTTTTTTTTGTGTGATGTAGGACTCTTTTTGGCCTCTCATACGGTCAGATTTTCCTTTCACAGCTTCTCATGCGTCCTGAATATGTTTGTTCTCTTCACGTTTTCTTGTGATTTCTCCCATCATGGTCTCTGGCAGCCGCGAGTTCTTAAATATTCACGAGAAGCTTTTAAACAAGCAGCCGATTTAGCAGCTCTCAATAATGCAGGAGAAGAGAGCAGACGATAATGGAGTGAAAGAAGAACAACGTGTGATGCTGTGGCCGAGACAGACTATCTGTCTCTGTCTGTCTCTCTCTCTCGTGGTGTTTGAGTGTGTTTTTATTCAGCTAGTGTTCGTTAGATACTCGCTTTAACACGCTGATGTCAAACAGGTCAATGAGGAACATCTGAGGATCTACAGCTGGAATTCTGAGATGCTTGTGTGTGGAGGAATGTGTGTGAAAGCATGTCTGTCTGCTGTTAACAGACACTTATGTTAACAAACTTTCAAGGCTATCAAGTTTATAAATGGCCAACTTCTAAAAGCACATTTATAGCTGTCTTTGTAAAGAGATATGTAGCTTTGGAGCCGCTGCAGTGACGCTGTACAAACGCTTCCGGAGTGAATACTCTCTGCAGTGACGATGTAGTTACTATAGATATATATCGGTATTCGGTACGCTGCGTCCGAAATCACATATTAATCGCATATGCACAAACACTCACCATCACATTGAACTGAACTTGAGCAGTTCTGCAAAGAGGAGTGGGCAAATATTGCTAAAATTGACAGAATTTGAAAGCTGAGGCTCAAGTAATAAAGTACAACGGTCATTGTGATTATTAGTTTAGATAAAGTTTGTTGAATTTTTGAAGATTTGAAAGCGAAGACTTTGTTTCTGTCTGTTAATCGATATTGTCAGCTCAGCACTGATGATGAAGATGAAGATGTGAAGCAGTGACTCAGATCTTCTTTTCTCTGTCAGAGACTGAAGCAGCAGCAGAAAGTGGGTCAGAGAGACAGACAGATGTTGACATCTCTGGAAATGGCTTTGTGTGGAATGAGCTCTGGGTGGAGAGACGGGTTCCTCCTGTGTGTGTGTGTGTGTGTGTGTGTGTGTGTGTGTGTGTGTGTGTGTGTGTGTGTTCAGTAACTCAGAGCAGCTGTGATGCAGGAAGAGGAAATGCCTGAGAGTCTCATTTCACCAGCACTGGATCTCATCACAGAGACACACACACACACACACACACTCTCTCTCACACACACGCACGTACACACGCACGCACACACACACACACACACCCCTCTCATGTAAAACTCTATAACTGTGATGTTACGCTGGGACAGTGATCATGGTGTAGTTCTGAATCTTACGGTGATATTTGCATGTCAGAGTTGAGTATGAGAGACTCGTCCATCTTATAACTGTGATGTTACGCTGGGACAGTGATCATGGTGTAGTTCTGAATCTTACAGTGATATTTGCATGTCAGAGTTGAGTATGAGAGACTCGTCCATCTGAAACAGATCACTGATTCTCTCTCTGTGCAGTGAGAAACTTGAAAACAAGTGATTGTGTGTCTGTCTGCAGGCTGTGCAGTCTGACCTTGAAGAGGCTGATCGTGTTGAAGGAGCTGGATAAGGATTTGAACTCGGTGCTCATCGCTGTGAAGATTCAGGTGAGACTCCTGAGATCATCACATCTTCACCGCTGGAGCTTCAGAAACAGCTCAATATAAACCATTCAAAGGACTCAAATGAAAACCGTTTAAATGTTTATCCAAGCCAAACCTTCTGCCTTTGGAGATATGAACCACTGATACTTCTGTTATTATAAAAATCAATGAAATCATTAATGTTGTGTCAGTTTAATGTTGTGTATCTCTATGTTACTGTTATCTTTTAGACCTTTAATGAACATTGTTATTTGTTAATATAACAATTCAATTAATTTTAAACAACCATAGTGGAATATGTTTAGTGCAGTGACATGTATATACATTTATACACTGCTGTTCAAAAGTTTGGGATTAGTAAGATTTTTAATGTGTTTTAAAAAAGGCTCTCCTGCTCATCAAGCCTGCATTCATTCGATCCAAAAATACTGAAAAAAACTGTAATATTGGAGGTGGTTACTCGCGCTGTGGCTAAGTTGAACATTGATTGACCCGCCGAGAAACAGGCTGAACCGCAGAAAAGCAAACTTGATGAATGCTTGATGAACGGACTAGGCCGCCACCTCCACGCCGGAGCCTGCCTTTCTTCCCCGACCTCCACACCGAGGTCTCGAGGTCGTGGGGTGGACCATTCTCGGCCCGCCTCTTCATCCCCGCTTTCGGTTATTACACCAACGTGGTGGGGTTGAGTGAGCGTGGCTACAGGGCGATGCCCCAGGTTGAGCAGACACTTGTGAGCTATCTGTCTCCTGGCGCGGAATCGTCCTTGAAGGCTCCGCCATTCCCCTACAAGCCGCTGCGTACCACGTCAGCGCTGGTGGGCAAGGGGTCAGGTTGGTGCGTGTTTGCACACGATGGCTGTGTGAAAGCCAACCTGCTGAAAGAGCTGGATGAGGGCGAGGAGGTTAAGTCTGAGGATATCACCGAGCTCAAGACGAATCGAACCGCTGATCTGTCTCTCCGTGCCACCAAAGAGACCGCCCGCGCCATTGGCCGGTCTATGTCAGCATTGGTGGCGGTAGAGAGGCATTTGTGGTTGACCCTGTCTGATATGAAGGAGAAGGACATGGTCTTCCTCTTGGATGCCCCGCTTGTGCCTTCTGGCCTGTTCGACGACGCTGTAAATTCCGTCGTCGACAGATACCAGGAGGCTCGTAAACAAACGGCAGTACTTCAGCGGTTCCTCCCTCGCCGCTCTCTAGCTCTAGGTGCTGCTAGGCGGGAGCAACCCCCTCCGTGTACCAGCTCCTCATACCAGGAGGCTCAAAAACAGAGCGTCGCCTCCCGTACTCTGGGTCGGGGACTTCCAAGCCTAAGCCGGATCTGCGGACCGTCCTTCAGGCTAAGATGTCCACGACCAAGAAGTCCTGACACTTGTAAGTCAGGACTTCTGAGGGCAGGCCCCTCTGGGGATGAGCGGTGTACACCTCATCATACGGTGCCCGTCTCTCCCCAGTGTCCTCAGGAGATCGGTCTGCCAACCCTGCCACCCACGGTGCTATAGGGCGCAGCGGTCTCTGGTGAGTGCTTCTCTCAGTCACCGACCGGAAACATAGCGGTACTAAGAGGCTCGTTACCTCTATGGAGGTCTCTAGAGCAGCTAGTTCGGCCGTCCCCTGCCGGTTCGCCGCTTCTGAGCTAGCCACTCTGATTACTCCAGAGGTCTCGAGAGACTGATTCCCTTAGTAGACTATTTGGCAGCGTGGAAACTACTGCCAAATGTGTCTCGGTGGGTCCTGCACAATTTAGAGAGAGGCTACAGAATTCTCCTCCGCCTCAATTCAACGGGGTGATTCCCACTCTGGTGGGCCCCGAGCAGGCTCTGGTAATGGAACAAAAAGTGAACACTCTCTTGAGGAAGGAGGCCATCGAGGTGGTCCCTCCTCACAAAAGAGAATCCGGGTTCTACAGCCGGTACTTCATCGTTCCGAAGAAGGATGGAGGGTTCTGTGTCAGTTGAACCGCTCAGTCATGCGACTGAAGTTCAGGATGCTCACTATCAAGCAAGTCGTGTCTCAGATCAGGTCCGAGAACTGGTTTGTCACGATCGCTCTAAAAGTCACATACTTCCACATCTTCATCCTTCCCCATCAAAGGAAGTTCCTAAGATTTGCTTTTGGGGGCAAAGCGTACCAATACTGGGTTCTTCCTTTTGGCCTTGCACTCTCACCCCACACTTTTACGAAGTGTGTGGATGCTAGTCTGGCTCCTCTGTGACTCCAGGGCATCCGCATACTCAATTATATCAACGATTGGTTGATAATAGCTCAATCAGAGCAGGTGGCGGTTCAGCATCGAGATGTCGTTCTCGCTCACATGAAAGAGCTGGGGTTCAGTGTTAATTTTGACAGGCATTTTTTATTTAGTCTTGAGACGAAAATGCTTAATAGTTTTAGTCACATTTGAGTAATTTGAGTCTTTCATAGTTTTAGTCTACGAAGTCATTGCATTTTTGTCAACTTTAGTCATTACTTTTAGTCAAACTGCAGTTACCAACATTTATTTTGATAGCTATTTCATATGTAGTCTTCAAACAAAAATAATCATTAATTGTTCTCTTTAGGCCAAATCAATTAAGCTTGTGAGAAATTTGAATCAAGGATTGAATTTGGAAAAACTGGAATAAATTATGACAATTTTCATTTTTTGATAGAGATACAAATTAAACAAATTTTTCAGATACAGTAGGTTTACTTAACAAGTATACATTTATTTAACATCTTTTGTTGGTTAACATTAATGACAGATAGGTATTTAATTAGGAATGCTGTCCCTTTAAGACGGAAGGCATGCATGTAATACTGACACACGTTCAGTTTTCACCCACATGTTTACGTTCACTTAAGCCATAACCGACTATATTTACGTAAGATACTCTACACGATAGACATTTGGACTGCTGTGTGTGTATTTGAGCACTGAGAACTGATCGCGCGCTATATATGAGAACTGAAGAAGTGGAGCATGCGCGAGAGAGAGTACTTCTATCAGCGCAATTCCGCCTATCCCGCCTTCACTAACTTTAAGTTAATCGACAACGAATTGTGACTTCCGGGAAAAACGGGACATCTGGTTACCTTATCCCTATCCCTTCGGGTGCTGAGGCCATTGTTTCAGATCGCTAGTGCGCGTTTTGGTAGCCTATCCATCCACTGCGGCTGCCATATTGAGACTAGATATGCAAACGCATCCGACTGCAATACAATGACAGGGATGCACATTTTGAAAGACAAGACAGTAGCCTATAGGATGTATTCTGAAACTTTTCATTACAAAACATTACACACACTTCTGTAGATGAGGCTGGATCACGAATGATTTGCGCGAACATAAGACATCTGAGATCGGCTCGATTTGAGAAAAGGGAAAACATTTAGCACGATTAAAAAAAAACACTGGGTGGATTTTTATCATTATAAGGTGGTTGTGTACACACATTGCCAACACACATTTCAGTTCAAACAGCTTGTAAAAGTGCATGTAGCATCCTATGACCCCTTTAATGAAGACAGGGCATACATTTTGTCATAGATTTTATCATCAGATATTCATTTTAGCTCGTCAACGTCTTGTCTTAGTCACAGAAAAAAAGTTCGTTAATGAATATTTTTCGCCGTCGTCATCGTTGACGAAATTAACACTGCTGGGGTTAAGGCTAAACGCCAAGAAAAGTGTGCTTTCTCCAGTACGAAGGACCACTTATCTGGGCGTGGTGTGGGATTCGACCACGATGCAGGCACGTTTGTCTCCTGCTCAGATTGAGTCGATCCTCACGGCAGTCGCGAGAGTCAGAGAAGGCCGGTCACTCACTGTCAAGCAGTTTCAGAGACTGCTGGGTCTGATGGCAGCTGCGTCCAACGTGATACCCTTTGGCCTGCTGTACATGAGACCCCTACAGTGGTGGCTCAAGACCAACGCGGCTATGCCTACATGCCTTAGACATGTGAAGGAAACCTTGGTTCTTGTCTCAGGG